AATGAGTCACAGTGTTGGATAAATGTACATAGGCTTGAGAGAGAGAAGAAAATGAGTATAGAGAGTTATAAAAAGAAGTAAATAGTTTACAAAAAATGAAACAAAGTCTTTAAAGAGACAGAGTATAGACAGTCATAAATTAAAAGGAGTAAAGAAAAATAAGCCATGTAAAGATGGAAAATTCACAGAGAGTCTGGAATATGTATATTATTGTGTTTTCATCGAATTTTTTGACTGTGAAGGAGCCAAATACAGAGAGACATTTTATTGTGTTGGCTGCTAAGCTAAGCCAGCATGTATATTATAAAGGTGTCTTGATGTCAGAATTTAGGTGTAAGGATATGTTGCTTTGAAAAAGAAATTCTTCTTTTCTGTCCACAGAAGATGAGAACCTGTGGATTGCTTCCAGACTAATGTGGTTTAATGGACCAAGACCCCCCCCTTAAAGGTAGCTTTGAACACCCCTCAAAAATTATTTCATCCAATAAACAGCAGGAAGAAGTTTGGATAGAACTATGCTCATATTCCCAAATATTGTTCATAAATGTTTGTTTACATTTAAAGGGGGAATATACTATAGAGATTTGCATTGGCATAGATCTTGGTTTATTGATACAAATTTAAGGTCAATATTGTTATATGTATATTTCAGCTCTTGATTAAGGTATTGTGATTGTATAGTTCATTTAGAAAATGTAATATATAATTAAGAAATACAAGTTAATAGATAATCATCTATAATAGTCAAGCTTGTAGTCATGTCAGTTAAATTTTCTAGATGTACAGAGATGTATTTCAGATAGATAGGTATTCTTCAAACCTTTCAAAGACTACAAAATATGGCCTTTAAAATGTTTTAAGAAGTTAGGACTTTTCATGACAGAGACATGTCTGCTCCTGGCAGCACCAATTACTTCAAGAGGAAGATGGGCATTGAAGAAGCTCCTTATGGAGTTGGTTAGCCATTTGGGCAAGAAATTGCTCTTGCCTGGACTGCTTGATGAACTGGACATACAGTACCTGCAGAGAAATGACTGCTGAACTTGCCTAAAGGTGAGACAATTTTTCTGGGTTCCTGCTTCATGAAAGAGTCTGCCAGAAATTCTACAGGACACAGAAGAAAATTACTGACAATCTGCCAATAGAGGCAAAACAATCTTTCAAATTTCCTGCTTCATGGAAAAGTCTGCCAGATACTATGAGCCTGTAGGCTGAAGATGGATGTCCTAACGGAACAGAAGAATTTTGGGTGACTGTCCAGGCAGCGAGAAGTCTATGCCAATTCTAAAGTTTTTGAAGTTGCTTACAGTGAACTTATTTTTTACTTAGGTAATATTATATCCTTCTGGAGTCTTTAATGGAGTTGAAGAATAGATAGATAGTTATAATTATAGTTTTCCTTAGTTGCAAAAAAATAAAGTAGATATAAATATTGTAACTGTAATTCTTGCTTGATATCTGTTTTGTTGTATATAATTTCACTATTTTAAAATTAAAAATTGTTTTTTTCTTTAAACAGAAAAGGGGAGGTGATGTGGGATTTCCCTCTGTATGCTGTGATTATCATTAATGAATGAAATTGCTTTGAGCCTATAACAGAGTAGGGTGGGGCAAAGCAGAGCTAGTCAGGGAGGACTGGACTGAATAATGCTGGGAGAAAGAAGAGCAGACTCAGAGAGAAGCCATGTAGCCCCATGAGAGCCAGACAGAACTTTACCCAGTAAGCCACAGCCACATGGCAATGCACAGATTAATAGAAATGGGTTAAATTAATATGTAAGAGATAGCCAATAAGAAGCTAGAGCTAATGGGCCAAGCAGTGATTTAATTAATATAGTTTCTGTGTGATTATTTCAGGTCTGAGCTGTTGAGCAGCCAGGAACAAAACAAGCAGGTCCTCCTACTACATGTATGTGTATGTGCCTCTGCATGTTTTAAACTGCTGTGATGCAGTGTAATGAAATACATGGAGATTTTCTAGATACCTTTATTTTTAATGACTCTCTCCATAAATTTAGGCCAGTTGTATTGATTTCTGTCTTAAGAGGCTGTTTTCTTACCAGGGCAGTGAAGAACTTTATTTTCATTTCTTTTCTCACTTTACAATTGGGAGACGTTGGTCTTTGAGATTTGGGGCAGCTTACATGCAAGGCAAACAGAAAGGATATTGTCTAATGAACTCTAGTAGGTATGGGTGCTAGGAAATCTCTTTGATATTCACAGAGTTTCCTGTGGCCTTGTTAAATCTGTATAATAATTCTGGGAAGCCCATTATAGCTGCTCTCAGACCCGTCCTTGAGCTTCACTGGACATCTCTCAGAGAGGAGAGATTTCTGAACTGTGATGAGCATCAACCATCTGTTCCCAAGTGATGAGGGCTCATCCTCCAACCCAGATGACTCTGGCATCTGCCTCCCCACTTTTCCTGTTGTCAGCATCAGTTATTTCTCTATTTATCAGTTTCCTTATCAGACAATATCAAAAGTTCTAATTTAGGACTGTTCAGTGGAGATAGTGTGTAAAAGCTAATGCCCACAAAACACAGTTTGAACTGCATGCAGCTTTGACAATTAACTCACTGTCATTTTGTCTTCCTAAAATAAAGCCAGATGTTGTAGTTTGCTGCTGCTGCTGCAAAAAAAAAAAAAGGTATACCTTGTGAGAGAAGTAAGAGAAGCAAGCAACTACAATAGACATCAATGGACTAAACTAGACATAAAGAACACGACCTTATTAGCTTGTATCTTGCAGGCCATAGCTGGACAGAGTCACATTCAACTTCACGTGCAATCACATTAGTTCTGCAAAGTCATTAACACAAGGCAGTTAGAGGAATGCTGAGGTGTGTGTGTGTGTGTGTGTGTGTGTGTGTGTGTGTTTGTGTGGGTGCATGTGTGTGCATTTTGCTGTGGATCAAACCCAGAGCCTCTTGCATACTAGGTAAGCACTCTATCACTGAACAGCAGCCTATTTCGGTAGTGTTTTCAATATCTGAAACATAGTTTTGAAGCACCTGTGAAGGGGAAGCTTACTAGGCTCTCAATGAGAACACAAAGCTTGCCTGCAAACAATGCTCAGTGAAAAGCCAGTTGTCCAGCCTCTCAAGAATCTGCAATCAGACACACACCTTGTCTCCCTTTGCGTTGTCAAAAACCAGATAATTTATGCAAATCCTGGTGTATAATAAACACCTATACTGATTTTAATAGTACCACTGAGCTCATTACAAATTCTCCTTGGCTGTTACTTCTCAAAGCCCTTCGTCAGCAACACTTTACTTGCTACACTCTGTCTCTTTACGTGTGTAAAGGTAAGACCACAATTCGGCTATAAATTACACCATTGATGCATTCCAACTAGACTTTCCTCTAATTAATGCTAATTAGTGATGTTCCAATGTGATTTCAATAGGAGATAAAGCGTTATTTACTCTGCAGTTCCACTACAAGGGAACTGTTTTGCCTTTTTTGTTTAATATAAATGGAAGGAAGCAATACAAAATAAAGATCAACCACAACTTAAAGCATGTATTAAGTCAATTTTGTGTGCTGCTTTTAAACAATGAAAATATCAATTATCCTGTCAGGCAGCTCTCTCTAGCCTTTGTACCAAATAAGTGAGTCTTTGGAGTCTCATGGTCATAAAAACTTAACATTTTAAAACTTAACCTTGAATCTGTTTCCAAAATGTCAGTCAGTAGCTTGAATTAGCCCTGACAAACAAGCTATAAAAGTCATCTTCTCCCTTAAGTTTTCAAGCAAGAAAACTCAAAAAAGCAAGGGAAAAGACTTGGCTGCTCTGATGCTGGCAACCCAGACAATTATCTCCCAACGTTCTAGATTTGTGTTTGTGGTGGTTTGAATGAGAATGTCTCTGTAGGCTTAGACATTTGAATGCTTGGTCCTGAATTGGTGGTGCTATTTGGAGAGGCTTGGGCGTTTTGGTCTTGTTGGAGAAACTATGTCACTAGGGGCAGGCTTTGAGGTTTAAAAGCCTCAAGCCATCCCCAGTGTGCTCTCTCTCTTCTTACTTGTAGTTTAACATGTGACCCCTCAGCTCACTGCTCCAGCCAGTATGTCTGCCAACTACCATCATAATGGTAATGGACACTTTTCCCTCTGGAACTATAAGCCCAAGCAAAGAACTCTTCCTTCTGTAACTTGCCTTGGTCAAGACATTTTAGCCCAGCAATAGAAAAGTAACTAATACAGTGCTGGTGGCAAAACCAATCCAAAATTTCCATCTGTATAGAAATCAGGATTTCCCAAATGTGTTTATCAGAAAAGCCACATAGTAGGCGAAAAAATAAAAAGTAGACATTTCTGGAGCAGCCCAGCACTCCAGGAGGTATTTCTAATAAGCGGTTCTAATGAGCAGACACATTTGGGCAACATGTTCCAGCAGAGATTCTCACTCTGACCTCTGACCTCTGGCTAGACTCTTCCAGGGAACATTGAAAGCAACAACTGATGCCCAGACCCCACTTGAAGGCCAGCTGGACCATTGTTCTAGCCACGGCTATTTTTTGGAATTTGCACAAACAACATGGAGCCAGGGCTGAGAGGTATCCTTGCCCCCACTTCTCAGTTTCATCTGTCCACTGGAACTGGCAACTCAGATCCCAGGACCATGACCTATGTTTGGACAGAGGGACTTGAGCATGCGCAGGCTCAAGGCTGACAAGTGTCCCAGTGACCAGAAATGAAACACAGTTCTTTCCACCAAGAAAACGCTTCCTTTTCTCTCCACGTGTTTCTCCTTTGGTACCACTGACCATCATGCAGCTAAAAATCTTTATAGAGCTTTTTATTTTTTTTTCTTAATACGCTCATCCACTGAATGCAGCCCAAGAAGGGAACAGAAAACTACCTGTCCCAGATAGCAGTTTTAGAAGTATGTTCACAGTGGAAACTGCCCATACCCAACCAATGACCCACACCTGGTCCAGATCCCACATGGAAAGACAACAAGAAAACCACTATGCACATCTCTGGGTTCATTTAGACAGTTTTCTTTAATTAACGATGAAGACACTACAATTCTAAGTACCAGACAGAATTGGGGGTAAAAAGAATTGAAGACAAGCATAACATTATAAAGAAAGCTTGGAAAAGTGAAACACTGCTAAAGAAAAAATATAAACCTGGCCTGGTACCCATTACATATATACATAATACGGTATCCACATATATACAGTAAATGTTTTGGTAGCAACAGAGACCATGTGTTGGTCTTTTGTACACAGATGAAGTAGCACCATCAATAGCACCACCATCTTCGGATGATAAACCAAACCACACACAGTAAATGGAAAGCTAGATGGCATTTGTTTGGCCCACCCTGTAGCCAAGAGGTATAAGGAAAGTAACTACACAAGAAAGATTCTTCTGGAAACTCTATTCTTAGGCCAGTGGCAAAGTTCTAAAATGAATTTTTTTAAAAAAAACACTAGCACTACAAATGGATATGCAAACAGACACATTTTCCTGGGTAGTGAATTTGTTCTACGATATGGCATAATGGCTAACACTGGAAAGACAGCATGAACAAAGAGAGGTTTAAATAGTGGGTGAATGGCAAAGGGATAACACACCCATCTCTTGGTGCAGACATCACAAATGCCAAGTCATTGATAAGCTAGGGAAGGGAGATAACACCTTACCCAAGTCATACATTTAAAAATCATATTTACTACTTATAGGCTCCTAATTAAGAGTAGGGCCAAACACCTCCAGCACCTCTCAGTCTTCTTCCAACATCTATTCGGTGCCCTAATTGTGAGTAGTGAGTGACAGATACCCAGCATGTCATCTGAGCCAAACTTTCTACAGGTGTGTAAGGGGAACTGATGAACAGAGCTCCACTGGAACCTTCTTAGGCTTGGCTCAGGGACGAGCAGGCCCAGTGTTTAACCCTCAGTTCTACTAACTACAAGGAAGGTTGTCTCTGCTTTCCATAGTTAAGCTCATGGTCCAGCCTGGAAGTCCTTCCATTAGTACTGCCAACGTTGGGCCTGCTCACAGCCTGTTTCCTACAAGTTTCTCAGAAGCAGCCCATACATATGAGTGTTGCATCACCTCCTGCTAACATGCACACTGTCTTGGCAGCACTAACCCTCCTGTCTTGTCACTGCAAAGAAACCATTTCTTATTTGCTTTCCCCAATTGTCTTCCATGGACCTTCCCAAGAAGCCCCTTCTCTCCAGAGTGGGTGTGAATGCCTGGCATCTTCCTAGACCTCATTGTATGACCACCTCAAGTACAGATCCCAGCCAAGGCATCATGAGGTAAATTTGGGATCGGTATCACCAACAGCCACAGCAACTCATGGCTGTACTATCCCTCATGTTCCTTGCTGTCATCGTGTGGTGGTGAGCAGCCTTTCTCTATCTTTGAGTAGCCTGTTTCAAAGGTGTTCCCAACTACATGGTATATTGCATTCAGGATGTACCATTGAATTAAAAATACTGTTTCCTACAGTACAGCAAAATTGTTTCTTAACACTTTGTCTCACATATAAAAGACAGAAGACAAAAGCTAAGAGAAGACAGGTTAAAATTCTCTATTTCTGCTAGATGGTTCTTGAGTAGATCCACTTTTGTAGTCGCTAGATTAGTCGAGAGTGGCCCTGACCTTTGAAAGTTAGCAAGAAATAGTCATACACGTAGCAGCAGTACTGATTTGTCATTATTGACCCAGGTGGTTGATCATTAATGGAATCCCCTCATTTCCAGCTGGTTCTAGAGCTAAGCTTTTGCCCCAAAACACAGGTAACATCAGAGCCAGGGAATATACTTGTTCTTTTCACAAAGGAGAATTTTAAAACTCTGTCTTAACACGTCTCTAAGAAAGAATGCTGAGAAAGGTTGGTCTCGTAAAGAGAAAGCCACTAACTTCCACATGAGCCAGGGGCCACTAGAAGCCCCATTAATGTAAGGCCCTGGTTGGCCTGCAAATACCTGGAAAGAGATAAAAGCCAACCTTTAACAGGAATTGAACACAAAAACATAGCAGCTGATGTGTTTTGAAGTAAACCCTTCAAAGAGCCAGAGCATGGGAATTCAGCCTGGGTACCAGCGACTTCCAGTTCCAGGTCAGCTATGTTTGATTGGAAGCTTTCATCCCACCCAGCTCAGGTGACTCTAGAGGAAGCTGAAGGAAGAATGTCTACCTTTGCAATATTGACTCCATAAAAAGCAAGAAACTAGGAGATGCCTATCCACGCTCTTCTTTTCCACTGTCACCCCAAATGTCAATAACCCCATATACAGAAGCATGATAGTCACAGATATCTGAAGCCTGGGCTCTGTGAGCTATCACAGCCAGCTTTCTAGGCAAACAGTTGGGGCTGACTTTGTTCACTGCTCTCCCTTCCATTACTCGGGTCCTGGGGGGAGGGGTGGGGAGCAAGCAGCTTGCTTTCTTCTTATATTAGCAAGCATTTGAGTCAGAATACTTAAAGAATGAAAAGTTACTTTGACAATGAGAGTCTTTGCTTACACATTTGTAAAAACAAAAAGAAAAAACAAAAAAACAACTTTCACATCAGATTTTTCAAAGCCAGTGGGGTTTTCTACTGACAGCAAATGATGTCACTTGGCAGAGTTCCTTGAAAACAATGTATACTTATGACTAGAGACCTATTTACCTTAGAAACTGATGAGCATGCAAATGATTAAAATCTGCAACAATGAACATTGTACAACAGTCTGTGAGGTATGTGTCTTCTGGCTGACTGAGTGCTAACACTGGCCTCAGCAGTCGGGGGTCAATTTATCCCTCTAAATAGAGCAAGGGGTCCCTAATCAGTTGATCAGGGCAATGGTCAAGGCAGTGCCTTTGCCCTAGCTCCTTCCTTGCAGCCCCACCCAGGCAGCTCAATCCTTCCCAGAGGCAGAGAGTTGCTCCTCCTCCCAGCAGCATTGCCTTCCTAGGGACTCAGAGGGAGCCCGGCACTGCATCAATTCTCTATACTTTTCAGAAGTTTCGTGGCAATAATTTACAATTCTGGAGGAAACATCCTCAGGTATATTCATTGCCATTGCTATTTAATACATGAAAAAATCCAAGACGTGGACTTTCCAAATAAGGAAAGGATTAACATGTTTACTGCTGGCTAGATGCCTCAGGGGCAGGTCACTATGTTTTTCTGTGCTCTCTGTAAACCACGTTTATTAGATAACCGCTAAAAGGCCAGCAAACACCAGGGCAAATGAGCCAACCGCATTCATCTAAACACACACAACACTGGAAGCTCTCAGAACACAAGAGATAGGTGTCTTAGAGAACATGACATGGAGCCCTGGAAGGAAGGAAGGAAGGAAGGAAGGAAGGAAGGGGGGAGGGAAGGAGGAAAGAAGGAAGGAAGAATCTGGAATTTTAATTTCCAGTTAGCAAGAACACACTTCTCCTAACAGCCTTTTCAAGACAATGTATGAAATGAAACATGATGTGTACACAGACAGAGAGGGGGTGGGAGCGAGAAGCTTATAGAGGTGGGGAAGGGGATCAACAGTGTCTAGTTTATTATGAACAGAAAGACATTTCCAGAATTTATAAACACCCACATTCTTCATTCCAAAGAGAGCTTTTGACTTGAAGGGATCGCTCATGCCTCCTTCTCTCTACACAGTATATACAATGAAAGTCTGTGGTTTTCTTTTCTTGCAATTTTGCTTCCATTCAGTTACCAACTCTAAGCTGACAACTGAAAGCACCCCAGTAGAATACATCCTCCTTCTGTTTGGAAAAAAAAACCAAAAATCAAAACTAGAATGAATTTTTAAAAGGAACTCAGCTCAACATCAAGTTTATATTACAGGAGACAGTATCAGCGAGTATAACTGTACAGTACAGAACTTTCTATGGCACTATGATTCTTATTATATTATTTTTCTGAATTAGAATCTCAAAACAAGGATCATACCCTAAACTACTCTTCTTCGCCTCGTTTTAAGCATTTGCTCCACTCTTTACAACAGAACATCAAATACCTCAGTTCCACATCCAAAAAAAGATGTGCGGTAAGGAAAGTTACATTTTCATTAAAAAATTACACATATAAATCAAAACCTATGTTAAATATTTAATACTCTCTCCACCCAACGTGAACAGTTCCGTATGAAATAATTTAGAGTGGTGCTTCATGGGACACGGTTTCAGAGTAGATGAAACATACGCTTGTAGATGCGACGAGAATAAACCCATTCTCTTGCGGCATGGTGATGGGCACACCAGCTCACTGTGGCCAGCGAAGTCCTTAAGGTTCAAGATGAAGTTTACGCAGACTCATTGTCCTGGGGTCACAGTGCTTTCTTTTTGCTTGGCACAATATTGAACGTGCAGTTCAGTCATGAACTCCTGAGGATTGTACAGAGTAAACAAACTGTAATGGATGCATCGTACCATCTACGGCAGAGGGAGACGTGAGGTCCTGCTTGTGAGTTGTGAAATAGTTTGAGTCTGGATACCCATGAGTTAAAGGAGGATTTTCTGAGGTCATTTAGGTCTTCATTCTGGAAAGAAAACGGAAAAAAAAAAATGTTACCATAGGCATCTGGAAATGTATACTCAAGCAAACTATGAGAAGCTCCCTCCTTACAGAAGGATCTATCTGAGATCAACTGAAGTTATAGGCATAAGTAGTAGTAGTAGTAGTACCTACTATGTACCTACATAACACCAACACACTATATTTAAGTTTTCTTTCAAAATACAAGTGTTTATAGCAGTCCCAAGCTAAAGTAGTGAATACTACAGCAAACAGATCAATGTGATCCATACATTTCAGAGTTTTGGCAATAAATAAACACAAAATTCTTTGGGGTTATGTTTGCAGCAATAATGTTCATTCTAGCTCTCATTTAAAATATTGTAAAACACAACACACAGTTATAGCCTACACTCAAACTTCCAATTTAGGTGTAATTTCTTTCCTCCAATTCAAGAAAGCTCACCTCAGTGGGAAATTATCTGTAACTCCCCTTCAGAAAGGAGACCCTTTATGAACCCCAGAAAACAACTCTTGCTCTCCAGTTTTACATAGACAGTACTTCAGAGGTACCTATTTTTCATGTACTCAGAATTGAGTCTCTCTATATGAATATGTATAGAATGCCCAGAACAGTCTGCGTCAAGCAGATTGTCATAAATAACTCGGTGAATGAGAAAATGGCTACGTTAAGTGCCATGGAGTCGCCGAAGTTCAATTCCGCTGAAGTTGGCCTCCTACCAGTTTCCAAAAGAAAGGCGAGTTTCATTATTAATAGAACGTGAAGCCAACAGGTGAATTTCACAACAGGTGCACCCAAGAAGAATTCTAGATTCACAAAGGTGGGGAAGAGGGCTTCTAGCTAAGAACATTAGTTAAATGCCTCACTGACACATTTGGCTGCCTTTGGAAGAAAAGGGATAATCCGGGGATGTGGAAACAAGGATTGTCACCCCAGTGTTTGTACAAGGCTTGCCACATCGCAGGCATTTGATAAATACGAGCTGAACAAAGGGCAGGCATGCCACAGACTTGCCATTGAAGACATGATAGAACAAGGCTCGGGACAGGAAGGGACCAGCAGTGGGTAGGCCATAAGAAGGATGCCGCTTCATAGAACTGCCAAAGGCCACAAGGGACGCGTGGAGTTAAATATAGAGATCGAGGGCAGGTACGTGGCGAAACCTCTGTGGACAGTCCAGGAGGCCTTTATCTAACTACGGGGATAACAGATAAGGACAAGGACCACAGGAGACACAGGAGGACGAGCATAAATGCTGACCGGCACAACTTGTTTGTCCTCTCTCTTGCTGTTCTCCCTAGTGCTGTTTCTGAGACCGGGACTTGCTGTGTGGCCCAGGATGTCCTTGAACTCATGGTCCTCCCGCCTCAGCCTTTCCAGTGCTGGGATTATAGGGGCTTACTGCCAAGCCTAGCCTCTGTCTCCCTTTGAAGGGAGTGATTGTGACACTGAGCCACCAGCATTTCCTATTTACACACTGGCTTTCAGATAAGTCAAAGTTTACCAAAGAAGACTCATTTTATGAGATTTTTATTTATTGTAAAATATTAACTCTGCCTCTAAAAGACAGGCTACCTTTTACTTACTAATAAAGACTCAGTATAGAGATGCCAAAGCAAAAACAAACAAATAAAAGTGGCCGGGGTTTCTCCCTTTAACTGCAGTGAGACAGAGTTTACTCCATATGGAGAAAGGGCTAGGCCATTCTTCCAATAGCCTCAGCTCAGCTACGATACTCACGGCCAAGTTTTGGGGTTGTCATTTACTTTTAAGTTTCTCCTGAATTCCTATCAGAATATCAGGATATAGCTAGATAGAGATTCACAGCTCTGGGCCTAAAATTAGGTGGGCCACACTCTATTCAACGACCTGTGACAAGAAGCTGCCACCTATACAGTGCAAACAGAGTGGGGAATGAAGGGCACACAGCATGTTTTTCATTTCATATCTGGCTCTCCTCCAGGAGAGCTGGATGAATAGCTTAGTTTGGGAACAAACTGTACCCAGGTTTATCACCACATGTGCCAAGCTGCACGGGTGTACAGGGCAAGGACTAGGGGACCCTGGAAGGGGAGACAGACAGACAGCCTCTCTGTCTGCTTAAATACATGGCTTCGCACTACCAGGTACCACTTTCGTAATTTTACATAAGCATGTTCGAAAGTAGAAAAAAAATAAAAACATATCCCTTCATCAAATAGCTCCCTCCAAAAGTCATAGCCCTCTGCTTTAAAAAAGGCTTTCACGTAAAATCTACCAAGACACAATTCAGGCACAAATATCACCCATTGGTGTCACCAATTTAGGAACTTAAGAAAAAACAAAAACTGGAGTTCATGTGGGGGAGGGTGGAACACAAGGCCACAGAGGAAGTCTGAAGAGCACATCTGCCTGGTTTTGTACAACGGTGTGAACCTGGGACTGCACATGAAGGCAAGAAGCTGCCAGGTAGTGAGGCAGACCACCCCGGTGAGAACTGTCCTTCAGCGGGGCCCTTTGGGAGGCAGGGTACTCGTTCGGATCACAGAGCCATAGTCTGCAGCCCTGCTTGTGGAATGCCTTCTCAAGTTTCCACTTCTTTTGGCAACTGCCTTCTCAATCTCAGGCACAGTCTTCCCTATCTCAGGCACAGTCTTCCCTGTGGTCTCTAGAGCAGCCAGTCTTAGCTCTTGGAAGGCACATTTGATCTTTGGAGACTGCCAAAAAGGTTTTCTAGCCAAATTCAGTGAATAAAGGGGTTGATAGTTCCCAGGGACCTAATTACCTAAAGCCAGAGAGTTTCAGGACTGAAGCTACAAAGGCTTTAGTCTTCTTGTACACCAGGGAGAGAGACCATAGTCTTCACAGACAGACCTCTCTGAGGCTTTATTGGACTTACGCTCATCTTCCTATATCCTTAGCACTACACTCTTGCACCCTAGACAGGCTGAGCCTGGAACACCCAATGTGGCGGAAGAAAAGGCTATACTCTAGGTGCATAGGTTTTTGCAATTTAGGAATATGTTTCCAAAAAGGATAACCACACTGCGTTCTCACAGTCGTGAAATTCAATACATGTCTTTTACAAACACAAATGCAATGGCATATACCGTAATCAGCAACAGAGATGACACGGCCATATGTACATGCAATGTCCTTAGCTTCTACAGCCTCCATCAGCAGACCTCAGGTGCCCATACCAAACGTGGCCATGCTACTTTCCAAATTTAAGAGCTCACTGGTCCTGTGCATAAAATGGAAACCAAATGCAACCCATTTCCTCAGCAGAAGACTCAGCGCAAACATCAAGCTCTCTAGTTACATCCCTGGGGAATTACTTCTGAACCCAGAAATGTGATGCGCCTGTCATGAGAGTTAGCAGCAGGAAGTTACACTTGGACAAAATTTCATCACACCAGTATCTACTGTACCCCCTCTTTGTGTATCTTCTTGTCCGATAAAACCCACCTAATCCTGCTGCCAGAAAGTGAAAAAAGTCCTTTTTAAAGCATTATCAGATAAGTCAACACTTGAGCGATGCCACTTGAGTCCGACAGATTATTGCATTATGGCATCCAGAAAGAATTTACATCTTCCGGAACTGTACCCACTTAAACTATGCCTACTTGAGCTGAAAAACAAACACAGCTTTTGCTTCCTTTCACATTGTTTTGGCGGAAGGATCAGTTTTGGCTGTGAAAGTTGAAAAACAGCAGGCAGCTGAAAAAGAGGTTCCGGGAAGGGTCTGTACCCTTCCAAGAAGCCACTTTTAGTCAGAGCCATTGGTCAGGGACCATCTTGAGCATCTTGGTTTTGAAACTTGTTGCCATTCTGTGGAGTCAAGTGCAACATAGTAATAAGTGTTTGACCAGGGTTACTATTCTTGATTCTTGGAAAATAGGAGTAAAAAATAGTTCTAAAATATGGCCACAAAGTAGCCCTGCCTCATCTAATGGTATTTTTAAAAGGTCTGCAAGGCTCAGTTTCCTTCCGAGGAGATTACTGTTTGAAATCTCACTGTGGATTTAGCAAGACAATTTCCTATTAATTAAATCCTATACTTAAAGAAGTGTGTCAAGGTCTGAGAATGTTGCTTAGAATGATACTTGCTTCTTTTGACATGTACAAGGCCCTGGGTTCAATCCACTGCAGAATGAAAATAGTGTCAAAACAGCCACATTGCATTTTCACTTAACATAAATGTGTATGCGGGAAAGTTATAACACAGAACACTTATAAAATACAAGAAGATCTAAATTTCCATAATATGTTTATAATGCCTGGCACCCAAGGGTAACTGTTAATTCAGTTATTCCAATTTCACAATTTATATGCAAAGTTTTGAGGTCTTGTAATCCTGCATTCATTCTTAAATGTGTTTTTTAAAAAGGGGAAACTAACATTCAAATCATCCTTCCATACTTTCTCATTCTCACAAACATGTGAAGCGAGTCATGTGAAATTGGTGGCTCGATTTTGATGTTACCGTAGTATCCTATCCTTTGTCTCATCTTCCTAATTCACTGTCTGGAATTGGAAGTGGGGTGAGCTGCCGCATTCCCGGCTTTGCTCTCCCACCTGGGAAATGGAGAGGGAAGAAGTGGAAGTTTGGGAGCTCAAACATTCCTGTTGGGCACTGCTCTGTCCTCCAAGATGGCAGCTGTGATGCTAGCGCTAGCCTCTGGAATCCCCTTCCATGACTTCTCACCTTAATATATTTAAGGCTGGGTCTTTCCCTAAATATGAAGCTCACAAATTCAGTCAGACTCGTTGCCCAGCAAACTTGAGGAATCCTCTTGTCTATGCCTCTCAGGAGTAGATTTACTTGTACAAACCACCATGCCCAGCTTTTTAAAGGGGGAGTTCTGAGGATTGAACTCAGATCCTCATGACTGCACAGCAAGCCCTTTATCAATGGAGACATCTCCAGGGGTTGGCAAGTCTACTGTTTTCCTCCTCCTCCTCCTCCTCCTCCTCCTCCTCCTTCTCCTCCTCTTCCTCCTCCTTTTTCTCCTCCTCCTCTT